GAAAAGAACCAAGCTCAGAGAACCCCAAGGACTCCATACATTAATGTGTTTTTAAATTTTTACTGACATCTTATTATGTTATTATATGTTTGAATGCACTGCTAGTGTTTCTTAAGCAATTGTTTGCTTAAAACATTTTTAATTGAAAGGCAGAATATATCAAAATATTAAGGAGCATATATGTGTTTTCTATGAAACTTAATGTTAGTATTATAGCACAAATGTCATGCTCACTGACTAATTATGCATTACTTTGAATACAAGTCCATATTTTCAGAATCCAATTCCCATATTGTTCTTTGGACCACATAAGACACGATAATAATTGTATATCAGTTTACCTTTATCTGTAACAGCTTCTGTTGGTGAAATGTTTCCAATTTGTGAACTGGCATTCTGTTGTACCTCTTTTCCTTCAATTATACAGCTGGAAGGAGCCTGTTTCCGTGTCCATGTACGGTTTAAGGAGCGTCTAAGTAAAAATTAAAGCAGACATTTTTTTTTTATTTTTAAGACATAAATACAGTTTGAGATCACAAGTGAATTAATTGTAAGCATTTTTGCAGTGAGGGAATGTTTTATGAACAAAACAGCACTATAAGGATTGCTGTTAAATAAAAATGTGATAACAAACTGTATTTCCTTTTGACACAGTTGCTATCTTGTTTATTGAAGAATTCAAAGATGCAGGTTTACAAGGACCATCACATATTATAGAAATACAACTTCCTATTAGCTATTTCAGTACTAAAGTAAAATGTAGTTTAGGCGGAGCTATCCTTGAAAACTATCCAAAAATTGCAACTGGGGTATAATGTCATAGCTGGGCTACTAACTGATGTAGGGGACGGGATCATAAAATCCTGTACTGAAAGATCTGCAATGTTTGCTAGTTGCCTCCTAAGCAAAATTTGAAGCCCTGGCATTTATCTTTAAAACTGTAGCTAGCTTAGAACCTGACTATCTGAGGGACCACCTCTATTAACCTCCTGTTACTTAGATCAGCAGAAGAGGGCCCTTTGAGGCCCCTCCACCAGAAGCTATATAAAACACTGACTGTTGGTTCAGCTTCTTACTGCCTACTATAACATTAACATGTAATTTTTGTTTCAAATTCAAATATATTTTCTTTTTTAAAATAACTGTTATTGAAGTTTAGAAATACAAAGATAAAAAACTTACAAACTAAGAAAATATAAAAAAGAAAAAAAGAATAAAAGTGCAGAGAAAAAGAGAAAAAATAATAAAGAAAAAAGATATACTGTATAAAGAAAAAAAGAAATGACTTCCCCCTCCATCAAGACAAGTACAATCAATTTCAGTAACTTATCACCTTCTCTGATATTTCAGCAAAAGATCTCTTCTTCCCATATCTCATCTCTTATCAATAAACAAATTATAAAGCCTCATCATTCAGTCCTAATCAGCAAAAGTCCATTAAGAATTACCAGAAAAAATAACATACATATTTTAACCTTAATAAATCAGTTTTATATTCCTTTACTTTACTTTTAACACAGTAACTTATCACTTTCTCTAAAAACAGAGCAAAAAAAAATCTTCTTCCCGTCTCTTATCTATAAACAAATCCTTAAAGCCTCATCATTTGGTCCTAGTTTAAAAAAAAAAAAAAGTCCATTAAAAGCTACCAGAAACAGCATACACACACACACACATTAACCTTGACCAAATAAATCCACTCTTAATCAAATAAGCCAACTTTGTATTCCTTTACTTTTAACATCATAACTTATGGTGTTTTAGCTTTCTCTACAAATACAACAAAAAAATCTTTTCTTCCCATATATTACCTATAAACAAATCTTTAAAATCTCGTAATTCAGTCCTAGAGGAGAAAAATCCATTAAAAGCTACTAGAAAGAAGATCATATATATTTTAACCTTGATCAAATAAGCCAACTTTATATTCCTTCTTTTTGCTTTTA